AAACGTCAGATACGCCTATGGTTACCTCACCCTGGTTGCCTGGAGTCTCTTTTTGTAACGAGTTTTTGTAACATTCATCATTTACATATATTGTTCGACTTTGTTCTATTCAACCTGTATCAAAGTTAGCCTATTATCACGGGTGTCGCATGACCAAATCATTTTCACAGAGTCCGGTAAAATTTAATTATATATGAATTTTTCGGGCAGACCAGGAGACACAATTGTTGCGTTCAAGTTTAAACACCACTGACGCACACTAATCATCAAGAAATTGATAAAGATAGATAGGATAAAAAATAATTTAGGCGTCGTTTCGAATATCTGTGTAGATAAACTTCACCAGAGTAACGAATAGCAAATAAAAGGTATTATATACCAGCGATTGGCAACCTGTGACTGCGGAGCTATATGCGGCTCTTTGTTCTCGGAGCACTGGCTCCGGTAAATCAAAGTGCCTGCAGCACTTTATTGTTGGAAGCAGTGGAGATTTAATGAAAGACGGCGTCATAAAGTCGATTACTACTCACTAATTACACATCATCAGGTATAAGTACCGAAAGAGGTAAAAATAGGTCGCATTAAGGTGAATCTGTCAAAACAAATTTTTTCTTTTCATTTTCCAAGTTCTTTTCATTTCGTAGTAAACTGACTGTTACGGTTTTGAGTAAGTTTGAGTTTGACGGAAAGGATGCGAAATGGCTCTTCTAATGCTAACTGTTGCCGATCCGTGCTATACCATACACAACGGTGGTTAAACGGTACTCCCGTAGTATGTGAACCAAGATGGTGGACACTGGAACGTAGTATGTGTACCAGGTTAGGCTTAGGCCATAATTTCAGTTCTGTTACGAGTTCGGGGACTAGCCAAGTGACTCCCGTACTATTTGTACTTGAAATTATGGCCTCACCCTAACCTAGTACACATACTAAGTTCCGGTGTCCGCCTTCTTGGTTCACATACTTCGGGAGTAACGGATAAACTATACAGTCTAACGCTTGCTTATTACCCGTTGTGCCTGTTTTACTCTGAATAAGCCTGGCAGAACCATTCGCTATTTGATACCTTATACTTCCAAAATCTTTAGCAACTATTTTTAGGACATCATTATATATCAAATTTAGTTGGTGCCCCCCTAAATATATTTGAGAAGGCTACGCACCAAATGTATTAGCAACTAATTTTGGGACGCCAATATATCTTTCAGTAAACGCATGTTCAAATACAATGAAGCAAAATTATCGGTATAGATGTGTAATCACAATACTCAAATTCAGTTGCCCGCCTGAAAAGATTGCAACTAAACTACTTATCAGAAATCTTTATACGGCCATTAAATTCTAAAACGCGTCTGACTATAACGCTTCTCTTTCCGCATATACCTGCCTTAACGATATAACTCAAAAATACTCAATATCAATACGTCGTTGTATAATGCTATTAACTATGGTGACCCTCTATGTTTGCGATATTAGTACAATCAACTGTAGCCCAAACTAAATACATAAATAAAGCAGTGCTTTTCAACAATGGAGATTTCTTTTCTGACGCGGCAATAGCTCACTTCCTGTCCAAGTAATTTTGATGACATTCAATATTTTCTTTCAGGTTTGATATTATATGCGCGTGGAAAGCATATGTTTTGGGATTTTGCTCCGTAAAAAACTTTGTACAAGCAACCACAGCTACGTACCGAATTACTGAATTTATTTTTGTCACGGTTTAAAATTTATTTCAAAGGAAAGAGAACAGTTATTTGTATCAGCAAGAAATATTTGATTACACATTGCCCACGGGTAGAATGAAGATGAAACCAAATAATTCATAGTTGCGAATATATTTTCGTATCCGAAAGAGTGGAATATGATTTACATATTTATCCCAGGGGATAGGAAAGTCGAAAAGACGACTTAATCATATGACGAACCACGTCCTCTCGTCCGGTTACAAGTCTATGTCAGGTATGAGATTCAATATCGGATACACCGTGACATGAACCATAGAAATCTCAATTGCTATTCCAAAATGTACGACAAATGAAATCTTCTAAAATTCACTTCTCGGCATAATCCTTGGAAGTCAGTCAATTTCTTGAAAGCCAAGAGGAAATGTATAAATAGTGGCTCTTTGACGAATCAAATTCTGAAATCGATGAGTCTGTTTTTGTCTTCATAGCGTGGACATCAAAACCTTAGCAAAGCTATTTACGCACCCGGTAAATTTTGTTATACTAATTTTAGGGTCACTGTATGTACTATGCATACCTGCAAAATATAGGACCTGTCGTACTCTTAGTTTTTAGTTTTACCAAGGCTGCCTTGAGATTATTTACTTTTCTTTAAGCAAGCCAATCACTGAACAGTGTGATAAAAATTGAATTTTGCGCTAGAAATTGTCCTGTCACACTCGGAGTTTCGGTCTGTCGTACACATTTGGGGTTAGAGGGGGGATCTGAATTATTTTGTGATTTTTCAGACTACGAACGAAAAGAAATGTGCTGCAACCGATCAGCAACCCATTTGTTATAAACGTCTCAAAAGAGAACAGGAGGGCTGTCCGCTGAACCACGCAGCTTGCAAAAGAAGACGAGGCGCAAGAGCTTCGCTGAACTAACTACCTGTTGACTCAAGTATTGCTGTAGGCCTAGTGCATACAATTGACTTGGCTAAACGGAAAATTATACCGATGGTACCGATTCTCTGTCAACATTTTTTCACGAGGAAGTGTCGGTGGATGATGATAGCGTTGACCGGGCGATATTTTTCAAGGTAAGAAGAAGCTTTAATTTTATTTGTAACGGAGCTTTGATTCACTATTTCCCATATCTGCTATGTACATATGAAATATACAATCGACTCCGAGTTGACCATAATTTGTCTCTGGGTTTGAAAAAATCAAATCTTGATTAACAAAGTTTTGTTTATCATAATTTATTTTTCTCGTATTTCGAAACTGGAGTCAAATTTTACTACCTGAAGTTAACCCCCAGTCGAAATCAACATTTTCTCATCCAGGATTTGGAGCCTAATCCGTGATATGTGAATCAAGATGGTGGACGCCGGAACGTAGTTTGTGTACCAGGCTAGGGTTAGGCAATAATTTTCCAATTCGGGTTCGGGGCCAACCAAGTGACTCCCGTAGTATTAGTACCTGAAATTATTGCCTCACCCTAACCTGGTACACATACTACCACGATCCGTTGTCCGCCATCTTGGTTCACATACATATACCACGGTAGTACTAATTGAAAAGGGGGTATACCTAAAGTATGGTATGCGTAAAACAATTAAAAAAAAGATTAAATATAAAAATAATGGCTTATTAGTAGGCACCGCCATCTTTGTTGGCCAGAGAAATTTAAAAATAGCTCAGTTTGAAATTTTGTTCACATAGAACGGACAACAACAATTTAGCACGCGATCAACGGCCACTTCGGGCCCGGTATCCATTTTTCATGTTTTTGTTTTAGAAGTATTCTAGGATCATTTTATGTCCCATATGTTATATTGAATTTTTGGTGCTCAAGAAATGTGTGTACCAAGATGGCGGACACCGGAACGTAGTATGTGTACCAGCTTATGGTTAGGCTATTTAGGTACAAATACTATGGGAGTCACTTGCCTAGTCCCCGGACTCGTAACAAAACTAAAAGAAAAATAATTGGAATAAAATTATGGCCTAACCCTAACCTGGCACACATACTACGTTCCGGTGTCCGCCATCTTGGTACGCATACTCCAGGAGTACCCCAATATGGAGGTAACTAATTTTGTTCGCGTACTTTAAATCAAGTTGTGTAAAGGGTGAGAAGCATATAGACAGAGGTATATTTACTTGGCTAACTCAGACAGTCCCCTAACTCGTAATTGAACTAAAATAAGGGAAATCGGAATAAAATTATGGCCTAACTCTAACCTGGTACACACACAACGGGAGTATCCCAGTTTTTACCTTAAATTGAACGCACCATTTATGTTTACTTTGCGTATAAATTTCAAATTATAACCGCGCATGTGTATACTTTTTCTGCCAATGTTGACTCAATCGGATAAATTGAAGATTAGATTAGTAGGGGGAAAATTCTAGATACCGATTTGCAACAAAAAATGCTCAAATATATAACCAGAAAAGTCAAATTAATAAATGGCCACCCACTCTTAATTAAAATCGTGAAAACCACCGAACATTGTTTATAGTGAAACACGCTATAATACATTTATTTCATAAAATTACCATCGGTGTATTTTTACCATTCCGCCCCATCGACTTTCCTCTCCCATGCATTGAATATAAAAACAATATTATTTTGAATTTTACAGCGTAATTGTTTAATGCATAGAGGACATGGCGAGAATACTTACACAGTAAATGCATCCTTGATTATGAAATTAACAATACGTAAAGAGAAAAAACTTGAAATTCAGCAAACAATACAAAATGGGAGAGAAGCATAATATCTGACAACACTTTTGAGATATGACGTCACATTTCTATTATGACGTCACATTATTATTATCACGTCACTTCAATATTATGACATCGCGTTTTTGTACGTTCGCAACGTTTTGTTTATGTGAATTTAATTGAGCCAAGGATTATCGGAGGATTGAGACGACTCAATCACTGAATTGAGTCATACTGACTGTTAGTTGTCAAATATACATTACAATATATGTATATTTATATATAATATCAATAAAGCGAGTGAGCAATGCCCAAATAAATGGACACGAAGACCAAAACGAAGTAGCATCAAATTTCTCATTACCAGTAAGTCGCCGAGATCGCTAAAATGCGGTCATGGAACCATGACATTTTGTTAACTTTGATTACGCCATCACACATAAATGTAAAGTGAAAAACGAATTCCATATGATCCACAAAATGTTTTAAAATAAATAAATAAATAAAAGTAATAGCCTTCCAGGTTTCAATAGGAACAACATTCTTCAACCACTGAAAACTTCGGAGCAATTGATCCTGTATTTAAGGAGAAAAGCCAATTTTTCACAACAAGAATAAATAAAATGCAAATTGACAAAACGATTAATAGGTCAATTTCGTGTCCAATAAGCACAACGACTCTACATTTTGTCGATGGAAAAGAGTTTGGAGGTGAATATAAATAAAATTCTTCACGCTGTGGCCCCATATAAGACATTTACGACTGTTTCAGCCTCGTCACTAGGTGGGACATCTGGTGGATTTTTTTGGGCATCGTTGCTTCCTCCCTCTGTTTCCCCATATAGTACATTTACTACTGTTTCGGCCCCGTCACTAGTCGGGGTGATTAGTAATTTTATTTGAGCATCGACGCTTTCTCCCCCTGTTTCCCCATATAGTACATTATCCACCATTGTTTTGTGATATTCCACTGTTTGCTTTGTTCTTTGAATCTTTTCCACTGTGGAATATGCGACATCTGATTGGTTAATGATGGACACGTGACTGCTTTGTCCTTGCTCTAATTTGTTGCTTAAACCGACCACGCCCATTTGTTGTGGACTTGATTGATTGATTTCTTCTGCCGCTGAGTAAATGCCCTCTCCTGATTGGTTGGAAGCCGAAGCTTGAGCTTTTGATTGGTCGCTCTCGGCTGGATTTCCCCTTTGTTGCTCTTTTCTTCTAAATGTGAAATATTGTAATTGGTAATTGAATATTAAAATCTCTATTAACGGTAATATGAACGCAGGATAACCAGTAAACTACTATTATGTAAATATGTAAAGAGATACTATACTCAGAAGAGCCAAAAAGTTCCCAGTTCTGCATTTTCGATTTGGTCCTGAGATGTGTAACCGACGATGCTAACACAGTTAACTCTAGTGTTTCAACTCAGTGCTCAAATGTTACCTACCGTTTTCGATTAGATCGAAAAATCGTCACATTATTATTTTACGTAACAATTATGAAACGATGTAACAATTAGAATTATGCGTTGTTTCGCGTTGATAATTACGCATGCCGCTGCATCTTTTCTTTTCTCTTATTTCTCATTGTGGGTCGCATAAAGGAAATAGCAATGAAAGTGCGTCGCAAACGGAAAAAGGGGTGGGCACGGTTTTTGAACTAGGGGCCAAAATTAAGCCCATGCAGACTGGCGGGCCATGTAAGTGTGACGTAAAAGTTCCATTTTACGGAAGTTATTTTTTATGTTACAAAAGCTAAAGTTAAAAACAATGAGCCTTATGACAAAACATAATTCAATACCAATCTCAACAAATTCCTTCAGCTATTTTATAACTTTCAGAAATTGGTTTTAGTTTGTGGCAGCATCAGACGGGCCAGATTAAATTACTGAACGGGCCGGATTCGGCCCGCGTGACGTAGTTTGCCCATGTCTGCGTTAGACTATGGCTCAGAAATTCAGTTTTATGCGATCTCGGGATATGAAAGACGACAAGTAGACTTGATCATAGGTCGATTCCCGCTCAGTTTTTAGTTCATTTATTGAATGAATATAGGTTATCTGCGAAATAAACTTGTGCGCATACAGCGTTATTTCATAAGCGTTTTCAATCCTGACTCCAAACAAGGCTCTGTACAAGCAGTCACTGATGTATAAGCCCAGGGTGTGCAACATTTTTTGTCGGTGGGCCATATAACCAACTTTAGACATCTATCCGGGCCACACAAAAATAGTTTATTCATGCGGGAAAGGCAAGAGAAAAGAATGCGGCTATTGCTTAGCCGTGCAGTAATGAAGACACCAGACACATGGCGACCGGAGCGCCTTTTTAAACATAAACTGTTGGATTTGGATTTTAAGCTTGATCGGAAAAAAGTGTTGACAAGGACCACACTAAATGGCTTGGCGGACTGGTTGTGGCCCGGGGGCCGCCTGTTGCACACCCCTGTGTTAGAAGATACTAGTTGAAGAAACCTGAATTTATTTGTTCGGCCCAAAACCCGAGTCGCAAGTCGAGTCAATCGCTGAGCTATGCTTTATTGATAGTATGTTAACCATGAGTCAGAATCATTTCATTTAAATTTCTCAAATCAATTCAGGTCTTTGATAAATTGTGACTCGAGTTCAAGACTAATCGAATCAAGGTCTTAAGCCACCGCAACACTGCTATACTCCCTGTATAGCGTTTACAAGCGCAGTTACCCAAATTTATGTATGATTTTCGTAACTCAACTGGTCGTCTGTAACTTTGCTTAGAGATGAGCCTCTTTACCTTCTGAGTTTGTGCGTGTAACCATGCTCAGAGACGAGCCTTATTTGCTTTTGAGTAAGTACGTCACTTTTCTCAGAAATGAGAGTCTTTTTCACTTTTGATTGAGTGCGTGTGACCACACTAAAAGTTGAGGTTCCTTAGCTTATGAAAGAGCGCGCGTGCTCAGAGACAAGACTCTTTCACTTCTGAGTGGGTCTGTGGGATCTTATTTAAGTATCAGTATTTAAGTGGAGTACATATTTTATAAACTCTGAAACTCTACTCAAATAAAATGTCCATTAAAAATAAACTTCAAGGTTATAAACTAACCTTTTTATAACAACAATTAGAATTGCCAGTGCGACCATTAGAAGGACAACGCTTATTGGGACGAGAATATTGACTAACATTGATGAGTTGTCATCGACCACATCGGTGTTATACAATGTATTTGTTTCCTCAGGTTCGTCTGCAAAAGGGAAAAAGCCAAAATTAAAAACATATTGAGATAGGATTTTTTAATGTTTATTTTCCGAGAGAGGAAAGCTGATACTACGGGTTTAGTCATAAGGCAAATCCCGTTTCTAGTCCGATTACCAGTCCATCTCGGATACAAATTCGCGACGTCACAATATTAAAGTGACGTGATAAAAAAGAATATGAAGGTATTATCTAAATGTGACGTCTTAATACAAAAGTGACGTCGTATATCATATTTTCTTCCATTTAGTATTGTTTATCGAACTTTCATGTATTCTAATGTTTACTCATTTACATATTCTTAAAGCTGACAAGACGGTTTAGCGGTAAGACAAATACCATCTCTTGTCCGTTTACTAGTTCTTGTCAGATAAAGAGAATTTTCAACCAGTAATTTGTTTCAATTTTTTTTTTTCAGTGTCTACTCCCCAAGCGAGGAAAGTTGATAAGACGGTTAATCATAAGGTAAACCCAATTTCTAGTCCGGTCTCCAATCCATGTCGGGTATAGAGAATTTTCAATCAAGTATTTGATGGACTTAAATTAATTTAATTAATGGTAATGGAGAAAGGCGTTACCGACCATTGATTGCATTAACGACGGTACAAAGCCTCGCTATCCCCTCGCACGTAGATATCCCTAACGGGGTTGAAACCTACTAACCGTGAAGTTATTAATGACTCGATGACTATATTATTTTAAACTATAAGCCAACCATCACGTGTTTTCTTAAACTTTCAATTAGGCTTTATAAAAGCAGTTCCCTATTTCTGAAAAATATTTAATTCTGCGAAGTTGGTATATTTTCTGGTCTGAAAGTTCAAACCAATGCCCACCACACCCCAGTGTGTGATAAATTGGGTAGGTACATCCAAAACGGAGGGTCCTTCCCAAAATAGTAGCTGTCTACATGCCAACGTTTGCTTGTCCATAGTCTCATTCAGTGTGAAACGCTTCATAAAAACACTCGAAAGCTCGGCGGTGTGGCGCATCGTGCTTAGCGTTAGGACACGCTCGCCACCGCACCTCTTATTACCCAGCGTGGCTTGGCTAATTCGAAAGCCATGCGGGGATAGTTATATGCAAGAGGAGGATTGCTGGACTCCTCGCCGCTGTAAGGTGGTTCACATGACCAATGGTCGGTTACGACTTCCTTCACCATCACGCTCATATCCCTGGAACAAATAACTGGCTAACTAATCTCATACCCGACATGGACTGGCGACCGGACGATAGGCCGTGGTTCTCCATATGATCAAGCCGTCTTATTGGCTTTTCTCTCCCCCGGGATAAATATGTAAATCCTATACATCTGATATTGGGGAGAAACAGCCGAACCAAAAAGTTCTACCGAAAATCGTTGCTTGTTGCATGTCAGTGACTGTTTATCTGGAGATTTGTTCGCTTCTTAAAATAAATGCAAGTCAGTTTCGAACCCGAAATAGATGCTTCCTACGTATCAGTGTCTACTAGCTCAGTGCCCTGAAGAACTGAAATTTTTTTTAGACATGGGGGCCAAAGACTTCGCCCATTTAGACTGACGGGCCATGTAACTGTGACGTAAATTTTGGATATTTACATTCCTTTCTTGTTTAGAGATTGCGATTCAATTCATGAATTTCGCTAAAAAATACTCTCGCCTCACTATCTGTTATTTGTAGCTTATTGTTAGCTAGTTATATTTGAGGTGAGGCACGAGACTTGACAAATTCTAATAATGGGGCGCGGCCTATAAAGTTTGAGAATCATTGCTTTACATTGTACTTACATGCTTTCGATAATAGTTGGTAAATGTAGTTAATCATTTTGTCTTTCTTGATCAGGTCAATCATCAACAATCTTTGTCCAAGTTTTACCCACTTAGATTCTATTTCTACATCACTGGTATGGAATAAGGAAATATCAATTGAGAATATTAGATTCGTGGTATCGTACACGTATCGTATGCGCATGCGGCTTCGGAGCCGCAGGTTGCCGATTGCTGTCTTCTGCCCTAGTACCTTAAAATCTTAAGACCTATTTTCAGGAAGCCATTATATCTTTTCGTAGAGCAATAATTTCGTTTTATCAAGTAAGATCTGTGATCACAATACTCAAATTCGATTGGTCTCGTGAACTATTTCCCAGATAATATGCGTCGTTGTATAATGCTAAAAACTATGGTGACATAGAATTCCCATATTAGTATTTTCCCGATATTAGTAACACTGCCAACTCCGGGCCGAACTATATACTTAACTGCTCTCCCCCCGCCCTCTCCCAATAAAAATTTTGGATAGTTACGCACCAAATCGTTTCGCAACTACTTTTGGGACGACATTATATCTTTCCGTTGCATGTTCGAATACAATAAAGCAAAATTGTCGGTATAGAGACCCAGATGTGTTATCACTATACTCAAATTCAGTTGATCTCATAAAAAGACTGCAACTTAACTACTTCTCAACATATATTACATGGCTATTAAATCATAAAACGCGTCTGACGATAACGCTTGTTTCGCATACTGTACACTTGTTCTGACGAAATAACTCAATAATATCAATACGTCCTCGTATAATGCTGGAAACTACGTTGACATGGAATTCCCATGTACGTGATATACGTACTTCATCAACTGTGGCCCAAACAAAATACATGACTAAAGCAAGCGGTTTTATATATGACATAATAATGGAAGTTTCCTTTATGACGCAGCAAATAGCCCATTTTCACTTCAAGTAATTTTGATGACATTCATCATTTACTTTCAGGTTTGATATTATATGCGCGTGGAAAGCATATGTTTTGGGATTTTGCCCCGTAAAAGACTTTGTAAAAGCAACCACAGCTACGAACGGAGTTCAAACTGACTGTATTTTTGTCAAGGTTTTTGGCTTCTCCAGTTCAAATAAGCCTAAGTCATGTAAAGAGATATTACACCATCAAACTAACAGGTCCGCTCAGCTTAATAATTGGCGCCTTCACTTCAAATAAATTTCGGTACTCTCATAGTGTGTGCACCAGGTTAAGGTTAGGCCATAATTTTATTTCCCTCATTTTAGTTTTATTACGAGTTCGGGGAATGTTTGTGTTAAACAAGTGAATAATATACCCCCTGCCAATAGGTTTTAGTCCTTTTATACAACTTGGTGTAAAGTACACGAACAAAATGAGTTACCTCCATATTGGCACACACACTTCTGGAGCGCCAAAATTTCTGTGTAAGCAGGCACAAGTTTTTTATGTATTTTAAGTGGCCGGGTCCGTCTAGTTTTGAGCTACCCTACGAATAAGGGTCTACATAAGAAGCCACAAGCACGTACGATTAACTGAATGTCTTTTTCACCTGATGTTTTGTCGCCTCCACTCCGAACAAGACTCTACCAAGCAGTGGTTGGTTCGAAATTTTGAGAGCGAGTCCATTTTGTATCGAACTCACTAACAATAGGTTCTCTCATTTCAAAAAATGTATTCAGAATCGGTTTTTCTAGTATCGATAAAATAACACATCAAATCGTGGGTGGATGGCTTACATAAGTCTTTCCGGCAAGTACTCTGTGCGAGGCGTCTCACATATCAGGTTGTAATAAAGGAAGTGATACTGCGTTGTTGTTTTCCTAATAAATTGAGTTGAGGTGAATGTGAGAAGAGTACTGATAGAGGAGTTGCAAGCTAGTTTGTCCAAAACAACCGAAAATGGGGAGAATACTGTTAATGGGAGCTATATATACAATTATCGGTACTCCCGAAGTATGTGAACCAAGATGGCGGACACCTGAACGTAGTATGTGTACCAGGTTAAAGCTAGGCCACAATTTTATTCCAGTTTTCCTTATTTTAGTTATATTGCAAGTTTTTGTATCTGAAATTATGGCCCAACCTTAACCTGGTACACATACTACGTTCCTGTGTCCGCCATCTTGGTTCTTCGGGAGTTTCGTATTCCCAGTACAAATAAAGACAACACATCGAATCGTGGGCGAAGAGCGTACGTAATAAGTTTTTCTGGTACGTACTCTGTGCGAGGTGTCTCATATATCAAATTGAAATAATAAAGGCAGTGATACTGCGTTGTTGTTCTTTTTTATGAATTGTTTCTTCGAAGCAATATAGTGAGCTTTCAACGGAAAATTGTATGAATACCGGTACTGATAAGGGGGCTAAGAAAGAAATATCGTGGTATTTTCGGTATCTTTTAGGCGCTCGAGAAGTGTGTGTACCAATATGGAGGTAACTAATTTTGTTCGCCTTCTTTACATCAAGTTGTGTAAAGAGACTGAAACCAATGGACTAGGAGTATATTCACTGGGCTAGCACAGACAGTCCCAGAACTCGTAATAGAACTAAAATAGGGAAAATCGGAATGAAATTATGGCCTTACTCTAACCTGGTACACATACTACGGGCGTAACGATAGAGAAGTTGCAAGTATGCTCGATACAACTAATGGCGTGGAAAACAGTGGTCATAGAATCTACATATATAATTTTTTAATTGTATACTGATTATTAATCGAGAATCACATTCATTGGATTCCTACGTGCGTGGCGCCTGTTTCTTTGTTTGCCCTAGGGCAGGGGTGGGCAACCCCTGGCACGCGTGCAAAACTTGGCACGCGTGACATATGGCTAGAAAGAAATATATTATGACGTAACAACTGAGTGAGCTCCCGACGAATTTTGTCGAGAAGAACACTCCATTCATTTGGCTACATTGTTACGTACATCGTCTGTGCCACCCTTTTTATTCATTTCTGCTTGATTTATGAAGTTGTACAACTGATTTTGGTTGGAGTTACTTGATACCTTACTGTTATAAATTGATTTCGAAAGAAATATAAGCGATTAGGGAATGGAATACAAGAGAGAAGTGCAGAAAACAAACTATCGCGTGATTGGGATGCCATTCCCGATAATTTTTCATATCTTAAAAACTTTGCAACTGCATTACTCTCCGTGTTTTCATCTACATAGGCTTGTGAATCTCTGTTCTCAGTTATGAGTCATTATGGCCTTTATTAAGTCTCGTAACAGGAGTAGCCTAAAAGATGAAACCAGTAGTTTGTGTATTTCTTCGAAACTTAAAATAACTTAACTTCAAAAAATATAACCCCAATGTAAAATCTCTATCAGCGGTAATGCAGCAGCAGAAGTCTCACTGATATATAATAAGAAAGTAATCAAATCTATTTATCGGACTGATATTTTCCCGAAAAGTGAATCTGTCTGTACATGTTTAAAAGGTTTATTATTGTGTATGTTTGCTTTGAAAGTAGCAAAGCATTGTTTTAAATTTCGGTCGGCACGCGGAGAAGTTTTGTGGTCAAATTTAGCCAATTTTGGCACGCGAGACGAAAAAGGTTGCCCACCCCTGCCCTAGGAGCTTCGAATCTATTTGTGTGGCTTTGCAGTACACGGGATCTGTTGAACTAAATATTAGTGTCGAGCACATATTATAGTGAAGACGCACCGCTGCAGAAGTCCAGGGCACAGGGTGGGCAATGACCCTTTGAATGGGCTACTTACAGATGATAGACTGAGTCACCAGACCGGAGGTTCAAAACTCAATATGGAATTATGAATGAATTAATGAAGAGACACTAGTGTTTTACAATGCCAAAAATAATTTGGATGTAAAAGTTTGAGGTATAGATTTATAGAGTAAAATGAGCCATTTGTACGTTATAATACGCGGGGAGTTATGGTATTCATTTTAGCTGACGATTTGTTATTTTTATCGACAATTAATTTATATCCATAAAAAGTATAGTCGTAATTTAAGCCAACTTGAATGGGCCGGATCCTGCCCGTGGGCCGTAATTTGCCCACCGCTTGTCTAAGGCCTTACCGGTACCGATGCTCAAATTTCGTGCCAATATTTTGATAAATTGCTATTCGACTTTGTTTGCATGGTATTTCATGTAGGAATAAAAACAACACATCGTATCGAAGAGCGTGTATAATGAGTCTTTCCGGTGCGTACTTTGTGCGTGGTGTCTCCTATATCAGGTTGTAATAGAGGAAGCGATACTCCGTTGTTGTTGTTCTTAATGAATTGAGTCAAGTTTCTTCAAAGGAATATAGCAGGCTTTCAATGGAAAGAGAGAATAGTACTGATAGAAGAGTTGCAATAGGCTCAAAACAACCGAAAGTGGGATACTATTAATAGGAGCTGTATATAATTTTCACTTTGTTGCTAAGATGTTAGAAGATACTGATTGTTATATCAACAATCGCATTCGATTAATTATTTTATTGTGACGTAACAGTGTAGGATTTATGATGAGTAAATGGATATCCATTTTCACATTTTGTATATAATATATACACATTTTGTGTTTATCTTAATTTGTTTTTTTTGGTAATTGAAAATGAAAGACATCCCCCCAAAAAACGTATTCGTGTGATAAATTCTGCCCGTCACATTCCATTGCTTCTTGGATTAAAACTTGACAAAATCTTATCCTAGTAAGAAAACCACTAGATTTCCGTGATGAAAACCTTACAGGGGATGATAACCAAGAGTGTAAAGTTTGTTGACAGAATATTTCTCGGTGAACCAAAACGCCTCGATTCATGTGATAAATTCTGCCAGCTATATTCCATTGCTCCTTGGGTTAAAACTTGACATCATCGTATAATAGTAAAGTATGTTGACAGAATATTACTTAGTGAACCAAAACGACTCGATTTCCGCACCGCAGGTGATGATCGCAAGTCGTCGTGATTTATAGACAGGATAGAGTATAGCATCTTGGATTGTACGCATCTTTTAGCGCAGTGTTTTCCAACCTATGGGTCGCGACCCAAAACATTTTAGGGGTAACGATAGTGAACAGTTTGGGAACCACTGGAGTAGACAGATACTTATTACTATAACTGCTTTCCTGATTGTAGTAACTCTCGCTAATCATCGTTTACCAGGTTGTGATGTAACAATATGAATATGTATGGTTTGGGTAGCTCAGGGGTCGCCAGTATCATTGCTTAGATATGAGTCTTCTTTACTTTGGAGCATAGTATACATGGTGACCCCAAAAAAGAAATCCATAAATTTGTTTCTTACTTATACAAAAATAACAGAATTTGCCTGTCTGTCTCCCATGCCTAGGAGGTGACTTGGAACATATTCTAGCTGGATGTAACATGACTTTTGTGCAAAGCGTCGTAGCAAAGCGTTCACTTGTGAGCGAGTGCGCTTGACTTTACTTTGATATTCTGTATGGTTTCAGCACCTTTTGGCATTTCCGTTGCTTGCTTGGAGATGAGCCTCATTGTTTTTGAATCAATGTATTTACGTCTAATGTATACCCTAGCTGATTATGATATAAATCAGGGGTCTCCAACTCAAAACATGTCGCGGGCCACTTTTTGAAATTTATTGGCCACGCGGGCCGCAAACCAAGAAATTGGGTACAAAAATGAGTATCTGAATGTATTGTGTTGAAATTACACTTGAATCTTACAGCAAACGAGATATGAAACATATTCATTTACTTGTGCTGGGTATTTGGTTTCGATGTTTGGCCTTATTTTGCGTTGGCATCGTACTTTTTTAATTTTTTTGTGGAAAAATCCCAATCATGACGCGGGCCGCAAAAAAATGCCTGGCGGGTCGCGTGTTGGAGAACCCTGATATAAACCAACCGCCACTAGTGTAGGCCACCAACATTCATTCAAGATAGATAGACCCCAGAAACGTGAATTTTTTTTTTTTAAAATGGAAGCAATCCCGCTCGGCACAACGTCAGTCTTTTTTGTTAAATCCCCCCCCCCTCCTCCCTTTTCCTAGTTTAGAACTTTCCCCTTCATTCAGTATACATTGAAAACTCTGGATTCGTTAACTGTTAGTATCACGCGCAAGTCGCACGACTTTTGTACAGTTCAAATAATTTATAATGTGTATTGCAATAATGCTAAATTACGGAACGATATACCAAATAGTACTAATAGTAATATTTACTCCCCAAAAACAACAAAATTCTTCTCCGGGTGGGAATCGCTGGCCAAATTTATTACACCTTGTTTGAGGTTACCATCGGTGGCGATCCCGGGGGTATTACCCATTAGTCGGTGTAAATTAGGATCTAAGATTTAATCTTTGCAATTTCATCAGATTTCTATAGCAAACATGGCCATGTTGAGAATATTTTGCATTTTCTGTTTTGTCAGCGGAATATTTGCCAAGGAATTACCTGGTAAAAATTAAGAAGTAATCGTATTATAAGAAAAGTATATGTTTAAGTGAATATTTATGGAACAGGTTGCACGTTTTCAATTTGTTCAAACCAAACATTGGAAATCTGCTCAGTCTCAATTCTAACCATATATGATTAACTATATAAACAACGGTTAAAATCTGCCTTTGAAATTAAAATCGAAAACTCCAAAAATGAACGACGAAGACCCTAGGCTTCAGACTACCTTGACTAATTGCCCTGATTAATTTGGCCACGCCTCTTCCTTTTGATAAATATGAAAATTCTATTTATATTCAAATTTCTATCATATACCATAAAAGTCCACCTCTCTATTCATAGCCTCTTGTGTATAAGGCACCCCAATAGCCCGCTACAATGGAGGCCATTGAATTGGCGATTGAAAATATATGTACCTAATGTCCATATGGCAGCACAATAGTCCTCTGCATAAGATACTATTGTAATGACATTGTGAATATATATGCATCACTGTTTCTAACTTACTGTCTATATGCCATCTACAATGGGGATGGGACATCCAAATGGCGATTGGAAATATATATACTTATGGACCTCCAAAGGTATGCGCACCAAGATGGCGCACAACCTGAACATAGTATGTGTGTATCGGTTAGGATTCAGGTTGTGTGACATCTTGGGGTGCATACTTCTGGAGCAGCTACTTATTCCTAACCTGCAGTTCAAATGGCAGCACAATATCCCTCTACGGAAAGGATGATATAGGGACTATGTCCAACCCTATTCCTAACTTGCTGTATATATTACACCCTAATAGCCATCAACAATGGGGTACGATTGAAATTATATATAAATATATACACCCTCTTTTCTAAAATCCTGTTTAATATTTCACAGGCGGAGTATGTGTAACCAAGATTGTGAACGGTAAATTTGTCTCTACTGGAGATTGCAAGGTGATTATATTTTTAGCAACTTCCTTTTTTGTTTAATACAGTCCTTAACCACAGCCAGGAGGGGCTGAGGGGCCATCCCAAGTTTGTGGAGAGATTCTTTAAGATATCAGTTTTATCTAGTCTTTTGTGCGGTGGTGAGCTTCGGGTTTGACCCAGTGATTAACCTGCGACATGAACATAGTTAGGTTAACGGTTTCACCACTACAGTAGGCCATCACGCCAATGATTGGTTATTCTTACGGAAGAAACAAAGAAGTCAATGCCCATGATGGCATCATTCTTACTCATTTTCAAAGCACTAGTAAGAGGTTGGCAAATTACGGCCCGCGAGCTGGATCCAGCCCACTTGTGCTTGCTGAAATTACGACTATGGTTTTTATGGCCATCAATTTCCGTTGAAAACATCGATGGAAATAACACCATAAAATGACCCCGATTGTTACATTGTGTTTCTTATTATCATAACGTAGACGTTAGCCTAGTTGTTGGACTAGCTTTTGTAAATAAACTGTTTTATTTCATAGTTTTTCATATTGAGTTTTGAGCTTCTATTCCAGTGACCAAGTCTGTTATCTGTAACTGGGCCACTCAAAAATGCAATTGCTCACCCATTGCACTTGTGTCTATCTAACTTGTGTGTTTTACAGAAGAAGACGGATCTGGTGAGTCAAACCTAGTGTTTATACAACATCTATTAAAATGCGAAGCGCAATGCTTAAATATGTGTAATGCATGTAATACAAAGACTAATAAATAAAAGGCATAGCCTTCCAGACTAGAGCACGGGTCGGCAATCTTTAAGCATTGAAAGAGCCATTTGGCAGCTTTTCCATTAAACTCAAATCTATTCGGTGCCTCAACATCAGTGGTTATTAAAACTCTCGGAAAACTACTTATCTAGTTCTTACTAAGAAGCCAAATGGAATATGAATTATGCAATAATTCAGTCCATGGCAAAATAAAAAACACTTGCAAAATGAAAAGAAGTTTTGACAAACTTGCATTACCTTAATGCGACCCATTTTCACCGCGACTTATACATTGGGAAGCGCTGTGATGTGCAATTAGTTAGGAAGTATTCGAACTTTCATAGAATTCCAACCGTTTCTAACAAAAAACTGCTTCAACCAATTTGATTCACGGGAGCCAGGAGTCCCAGAACTAAGAGCGCACCGGAGCTGCAGGTCCCCGATCGCTGTTATAGAGACTTCATCTATCTTTGCTTAAAAAAAATTAGATTGATGCTATTAGTTGATTGATAACATGTATTAAGTTAATGGTATAACACTTTGAATCCACTCGGAAATCCAGAACCTCCATTAAGCTTGTTTAAAACATTTAGCAGTACTGTTTCAATTTTTACAGAAATTGCCAGAATGATCAAAGAGAGTCTTGAAAAGAAGCAACAACCTGCAAGTAATCTATTCCAAATTAATTTCTGTACCCCGGTTTTTATACCAAAGCGGAGTCGATCACCCACTATGTTGTCGTAAGGGGGGTGGATGTCAGACACTCCCTCCTTTCGAAACCTGTGGGCAGAGGGTATTATATTCACTTGGCTAACACAGACAGTCCCTGAACTTGTAATAGAACTAAAAAAAGGAAAATCGAAATTAAATTATGGCCTAACTCTAACGTGGTACACACACTACAGGAATGAATTTTTCATAGCTCTTTAAAACCGCAAGACTCTTGAGTATCCTCGTTTTCCAGCCTCCGGTCAGACGCGCCATCTGTTACGGTCTTACTTGACAATTAAAAATTTTCGACCTGCTCTCGCACCAAGCCGCTTTAACAATTTGATTCTCTTTTAGGGATCTGTGACGTCACATACAATTCAAAATGCTTCCGAGTGATCGTGTCATCTGCACAAAATGTCAGTTTCCCGGATGCTGAATCTATTTGCAAAAATCGTAACTACAAGAACGTTGCCAACATTTACGACTTCACTCATTACAGGATGATGGATGGTCGTATTCGTTCAATGCTTGGTGAGGATTCATGGAGGGGCGTTTGGACAGGTTTGAGATATCAGGTTAGTATACGGATAAGTGCAGGTATGAGGTCTAGAGAAGTTTCGTACTTTAGTGGGTGTAGTATGAAAATGTTAGTATGTCAATCCCAACCCCACCTGACTGCGTCATTCAAAAATTACGTCACGGTGACATAATAAGCCCCTTCAAACGGCCATTCAAGACGCACAGACGATCATCCTGAAATCGAGAAATCTATTTCTCCCATTGTCTCGTCATAACGATCCCGATATGAGAGAGATCGCTGCCGTTTGTGAATTCGCTATCGTCGGCGCAGATTCAACTTCGGGCGATCATAGCTATACTTTGGCAAGTATATGACGTAATTGTGACGTTGTAGTGACGTAATTTTCTGATGGCGTAGTCAGGTGGGGGTCAGGATTGGCATGTGCAAAAATCGTTATGCTACGCCTTCGAATATACCTAATATACGGAACTCACGAGGTCCCAAGTCCGTGGCGTCGTTTTTAATCGATGACAGGTGTCCAGGCGTAGTTGAAAAACTCGACATATCTCGAAGCATTTCTTTCGCATGCCATGAAAATTTATGTCTTTCCCGTCCTATGGGGCGTTTCTCACGGGAAGTCATCCCGGGATAAATGTTGCAAGCGAAGATTTCTAATTTTACCTCATCTTGAAATTGCGACTCAGCTCTTACTATATTAGATACAATGATAAACAGATTCAAAAATATTTGTATTTGTAATCCTCAATTGAATTCTGCAAATTCACCAGGGTGTTAAAATAGTTTCCCAAAATTAAAGTAAAATTTTTGCGCTCCGGAAGTATGTGCACCAAGATGGCGCACAGCCCAAACCATAACCTGGTACACATACTATGTTCAGGTTGTGCGGCATCTTGGGGCACATACTTCGAGAGCACCAAAATGTTTTGTCATGGCAACGTTAAAAGAGTAACTGTTAAAAACATCAGTCATTGAATGTTCAAATGACATTTCACCGTGATTCAATAACTGTTAAAATTTATCAGTCGTTAAATGTTTTAAGTAGCATTTCATCGTAACTTCTGGTTATTTCGCGTTATTTTTTTAACATCCTGTATTATATTGTAACAGAACGGACAGCTGGTTCTGACGTCGGGCAAAAATATCTCTTTTCCAAAAGAAATATGGTATCCTGGGTATCCATCTTCCGAAGGAAAGCGAACAAATATCGCTTTCCCTGTGAGAAAAAATCCGAATGACGAGGATCACGGAATTTACAACCTAGCGCCATATATGGAATATCACGGTGTCATTTGTGAAATATAAGAATTGTAAGGAACAGTTTCGAGAGCTTTAACTGAAAGTAGCTAAAATTGAAAAAGCTTTCTTGAGGAAATGAGGAAACATATATTTCTAATCCTTTTTCATGAAAATACTATTGAATTACTCTCGTGAATATAGCTTTAAACTATGATTATATACATTAGTTTAAATATACCGTTTCTTTGTTAAATTTTGAAATATTTTTTTTATAATTCGCCATTTTGTCCTGATAGACACGGAGTGTTCTTATGTATTGCTTTGTTGAATTTGATCGGGGCGAAATTCGTCCTTAGTTTCAATTGCCAGCGCTTTCTATTAATATTGATATAACTCTGAAATTACTTGAAAATTGCTTTTATATATTTTACTGGCCCAAACCTAAAGCTGTCCAATTACGAGGGATTTCCCCTGTCGTCCGATTTTCCGCCTGATTGATAGGTCACAATTAGCAAAATGATGCGTCTGGCAAAGCACTGTAATCGTCGCCTCCTGATCCATGTTATACTTGAGCATTGCTTTGTTTTGAAGTTTTCAATGTTATTAATATAATTAATGTATATTCGGAATAATAACTTCAATTAGCACTCTTGTTTTTGAATTGAGTGTAGCAGATTCAAATGATTACTATCAAGCTAGCTGCGCTGTCGGAACAATCCAGTGCTAATCAAACATTGTTCACTCTGCCAGTCATGCTTTATAGCGATTTGTCAAGGTCAATCTGCAGAATAAACCGATCTAGAGGAAGCGGTATTGATGCTGTCAGTCATGGTTCACTTCTCTTTTATCCCCAAATTACGCGTCGTCCCATGTATTTCCAAACGGAATTTATCTATGGATTAGAACATTGGTTCCCAAACTTTTTTGACCATCGCCCCCCTAAAGTAGTTTATACAACTTCATCGCCCCCCTGCACTACAAAAAATATAAAGTCAGAAACGAATATATTACTGACCAAATAAGAAGACAAATCATAGTTTATAGTGTTTTTAATGAGATAGATGAGCTTGGTGTTCTTCAGCGAGTTTTTATTATATCTAAAATTACCCCGTTTACTGATGGAAAGGTGATTTCGTTGTTTTAATAGCAATAGTAGCACGGCTGAAAACCCCTTTTTCACCATATAATAGGTCGGAAATGAAAGAATTCAGGGTTCTACCTCCTCAAAAACCGCCGTGTACTCTCCCCTTATAGCATTTCACTTCCTAAATTCACCCCATTTCACATTAAAATAATAAAAAAAGTTAATTTTCCCAAAGTTATAATAATTCGTACATCTCATTCATTCGTACAGCCTGGTGACCTGCACCAAAATATTTCGGAAAAATTCATCCCCGATTCCTCATCTTATCACGGCCACCAGTCCGATCACCATTCCATAATTAACCAGCCATTTGCTTTTGGATTCATGGACTCGGATGTGGAAGAAACCGTGACTGACTATCGGCTACGGCCCAGGGGTCGGCAAATTTTATGTCGCTCGCAGGACAAAATTCAGGGTTGCTAGTCTTTTGCGGGTCGCATATATTTTTTGAAAGTTTAAAAACGGAACAGCGCGCGAAAACTGCGACAATTCGTGAACTCAACTTAGTCGTCTTATTGAAAAAATATTACAATGACATTTAAAGTGACACTGTCTTGTTGCTGCATCACGCTGGATAGCTTTACGACGCCAAGATTGAAACATTTTCTAAGTGGGCATCACCAAACCCACTTCTTTGCTTGTTCTTCGTAGTGTTCATTTTCGAAAATAATGGTTTGCACAAATATGTACTTCCAAACATCGAAGTGAATATTTTCGCATGATTTGTGAAATTTTGATAAATATTTTCTTTAAGAAGATACATTCCTACAAAATTAAGCAGTGGTGAATCTCTCGAATAGAATATGAATTTTATTTCCTTATTGCTTTGCAATATATTCGAATATTTACTGCGCTATTGAACCCCTGCACTCAGCATCAACTTTGCTGCGTGTTTCCATTTGTCTAATTATAATTAAATTGTAGGCTCGTTAAACGAGTCGCTGTTCACTGAATTGTTGGGATGTATAATTTAGTCTAAACGTGTCTCACGACAAATTCTATTACGTAAAAAAATGTAATTTACTCCTCGAGCGTAGATTATATATAAAAAAAATTTATCGTCAAAACCGCCGTTTGGATATTTCCCCGGGCATAGACTTCCTTGTTTACTTCGTGACATTGGCCAATCAGCAAGATGCAAAAAACGTAACAATGCCCCCTTTCGCATCCGCTCAGGCGCTCAGACACTCTCACTCAGACAGATTCTCAGGCGTGGTCGTGAACATTTCGTCGTCTCATTTTTGCGTTTTTGAATTATATTCGTTAGTTTTTAGTTGTTTTTCGGAAATTTAAATATAAATCAAATAAGTCAATGATTACTTTGTCTTTCTATGAGTTTCAGTTTAAATACAGCAATCAAAAATTAGTGTAAAAATAGCTGTGATAGACTAGGCTAAAATTCTTTATCGGTACTTTTAAATAACATATTGTTGAATGGTGTGTATTAGAATGATAGTTTGAAACAAATACCCCATTTTACAGGCAACAACTCGCGAAACCACTCTTAAAATGAGCATCGAAAATTTTAAAATGGTAAAGTATGGGAAGAATTTTCCGCGGTCAAAGGTCGGGGAAAGGTCCATTCAGTGAATCGTCCCGGGCCAGATTATTTTACTCCGGCCGTATTTTGCCTATCACTGGGATACGCAAACTAACTTACCTTACTGCGAAGACGAGACCAGAAAGAAATCCTTTCGCGTGTGAATATCGCCCACATGATTCAAGCCTGCGAATGCACACAGCGTACAGAATTAAGTGCGCCGAACATAAAACAGGTTTCGCGAAATCGCCCCCCTATCGCCCCCTTAGACTTTTTCGCCCCCCTCTGTTTCGTTTTCGCCCACTGGGGGGCGATATCGCCCACTTTGGGAATCACTGGATTAGATTGTAGCCATTGCCCGTTTTATTTAACAGTTTATTCGGGCGAGATTAAAGGGTCTTCATATGATCCCAAACATATATATGTATAAGTAACTTTGGAATGGGTCCGAAAGTGAAAATAATTTAATAAATGTCTCGAGTTTCTCATCAGTTCAACATTTTATTTGAATGCATATAATAATGTGTAACGCGTTACTTGTTACATATCTGTTATGCTTGATAGTTAAATACAGTTCAGTTCTGTATAAACATTTGTTGACCTAACTAGTTTTTTTTAACTATGCATGGACGTCATAAACAAAATAAAAGAGCCATCATAATACGCGCGTACCGGAAATAAATCTTCACTGTGAAAATAGGTAAATATTAAAACACTTTTTGCAGTATACGCTTTGATCAAGATATAAATAGTTCCACTACAAAATGCCAGAAACACCTAGAATGCTTGGACTAATCGTTATATGCACAAACGTTGTGATTATTCATTATTTTATGCCGGTAAATTTGCTCAGAAGTGAGCATATTCTTTAGTTTGAGTAAGTTCATATTACCTTGCTTTACTCCACAAAAACTAATCATGGGTCGATTAAATCTCCTTTCCAATATTAGATTGGAATTTAATATTCTATTTTTTACTAGCACGATTCTTTAGGTAAGTAAAGCAACACAAATCTAACCAAACATTATCAATACCTCCCCAGTTATAAAATGGTTCAATTTAATGACAATAAAACTAACCTTTTGGGCAGTGGTTCCCAAAGTTGATTGACCGGAGTGGAAACGGAGTGATATTTGCGAGCCAGGAGAGGGGAACGCCCGCAAGGGGCCAATGCCGGTACCGGTACGTATAATTAAGATATCGATGTAATTGAATATACACGTGCTTAAACTGTGATAATGGCGTAACAATTCGCGGTATCTAGAACGTAAAAAGGTAACAACATATTAAATTGTGTCGCGGGCCGTAATTGGCCCACAGGTCGCGCTATGGAAACTACTGCGTTACGGTAGATAAATATCGCTGTATCTTGGCAGTAAATATCACGAACTCTTTTAAACGTGTATGTTCAGGCTAAGATGGTGAGCCTAAAATGATAGCAAGCGTACTAATAGAGCTGGTACGGCTAAGCCCCACTAAACCTCCTGGGCAATGTTCCCTCTGAGAAAATATTACACTGCGCAATTGTTTGTAACGAGTGAGCATGAATATTTTTAGGCTGAGCAGAGTCCTAAATGATTTACAAACTTTGTGAAATATTAAAACAACAATAGGTTATCACAATGCGAACAAAGTACGTACACATGTAACTCAAAAAGCTTTTCCTTGTTTATACACTTTGTCCATGTTTCTACTAGTCCGCGGGCACCGGCCCGAGATAGCATAGTGGCATCGTAAGCTTGACTCAAAATGGCACTTTCCAAATGATTCAAGAGAAATCAAGGTAATTGGACGTATCAGACACGTGAAACATTGAACGGGCATGATAGCGGGGTGTTAGAAGGTATGGCAAGTCACGCTCTGAAAACGTAATGTTACAGGTGCGCTAGAATGAGATTTCAATGCGCAAATGGTTTGGTGGTACTGCGCAATGGCACAGTTGTGCTTCTCAAAGGAAGCTTGCCCCTGGGGTTTTCAATCCGGCCCGCTAGATGTTGCGATACATTTCTGCTCTGCCTGTGCCGAGCCTTATTTGGGCAAAAAGTAAAAGTAAATTCAATAAGGTATTTCGACCCGATAATTCAAAATAACTCCCGAATAATAATGGATGCTTAAACAGAGAGTTGAGCCTGATACAGAGTAAAGGCGAGACGCCTCCAACAAAAATAATATAATTAGGCCAGTGGTGGATTTCAAATTTTTTCTCAGCCGGTTTCATCACAAAAGTCCTATTTTTCAGCCGGTTCTGTTACAAAAAGTTATTGACAGTAACCAGTAATGCTAACCGGTTTGCTGATCTCATAAAATTCCGTGAGACGGTTCTATAGAACCGGTGCGAATCGGCTGAATCCCACCACTGAATTGGGCTATAAATCAGACATGGCCCGCGGGCCAAAGCTGTAACTGCTTGTACAAAGCCCTATTCAAATCGGAAGCGCGAAATCCCACGAAATGAGCATTTCACTTACATATAGTATCAAACCTGGAACTGAATATTAAATGTCATCATAATTATTTACAAAGGAAGTGAGCTGTTGCTGCGTCATAAAGATCCATTGTTAAGTCATACACCAAAGACATTGCTATAGTTAGGTATTTAGGCTGGGCCGCAGTTGATCGTGAGCTAATTTCGCATATATGGAAATTTTAAGTCATTTTAGTTTCTAGCATTATACAACAACTCATTGATATTATTGAGTTATACCATCAGAACAGGTATATGCGGTAAGAGAAGCGTTATAGTCAGACGCGTTTTAGAACTTAATGGGCATGTAATATATAAAGATTTTGAAAATTAGTTTAGTTACAATTTTTTTAGGCGGCCAACTGATTTTGAGTGATAACACATCTGGCTATATTGTATTTATGGCAACATGCATTTACTGAAAGATATAATGGCGTATTACTGAAAGTAGTTGCTAAAAGATTTGGTGCCTATCCAATTCAAATTTTTTTTGGGGGAGGAGGCAACAATGAAGTATATAGTTTGGCCCAGAGCTGGCAGTGTTATACTAATATTGTATATATGGGAATTCCAAGTTACCATAGTTGCGGAAAGAGAGGCGTTTTAGGTATACGTATTTTAGAATTTAATGACCATTTAAAAAGTTCTGATAAGTAGTTCAGTTGCAATCTTTTCAGGCGATCAAGTGAATTTGAGTGATAACACATCTGTCTGGCTTTCTATACTGACAATTTTGCTTTATTGTATTTGAACATGCATTTACGGAGTGATATAATGGCGTCCTAAAAGTCGGTCCTAAGATTTTATGGTACTGAGGTTAGGTATCAATTGCAAGCGGCTGCTACCAGGCTTATTATGCAAACTAAGCATGCACGACTGATGACAAAAAAAACGTTTTAGCAGGCGTAGTTTAGCCAATGTTGTGTATGGTATATAGCAGTGTTTTCAAACCTTTTCCATTAAAGAGGGGGAGGGGGTCGTGACCTACAGTTTGAACGGCCCTGGTATACAGTGACATGCGTTGCCCTAGTGAATTTTGTCAACCCAGATATTAGAAACGCTGCCGACTTATTTTGTATCATATCTATCAACCATTTGTATCAATTTTATGGTGATCAGTGTAGGCCAATGGTTCTTAAACTTGCGTCTTCAAACTTCTGGTTTTCCATAACAATTCCTAGTTCAATTTTACCAGACACCCGTGATTAAAGACTAAATTTGATACAGGTTGAATAGAAAGAAGTCGAACAATATACCAAATTGATTAATGTCCAAAATCCAAATCCGTTACAAAAAAGAGACTCCAGGCAGCCAGGTTGAGGCAACCATAGGCGTATCTGGCGTTTTTCATTAACCCCGTACTTGCTGTACGATACCACGAATTTAATATTCTTAATTAACATATACTTATTCCACACCAGTGCTATAGAAATATAATCTAAGTAGGTGAAACTTGAACGAAGGTTGTTGATGATTGACTTGATCAAGAAAGATAAAATGTCCAATTTGATTTACCAACTATTACTGATAGCATGTAAGTACAATGTAGAGCAATGTTGGATATACTCCGGTGAATCGTTTTGCAAAAATGTTGTAACGGCGGATCTTTTCTTCCGTCTAGGCCAGGGGTGGGCAACTTCTCTAGTCGGCGGGCCGGATGTGGGAAAATGAAGTCCTCGGCGGGCCGGATTATTACAAAAAATACTTCGATATCCAATCTTTGTTAATTGCTCGACACTCTCTGTCAACTGTACGTTTCTTGAGATATTCCATGGTTAATAAAACCTAATATAAAATCTAATTTCTAAAATCCATTTATATTTAGAATCTAAATATAACTGATAACAGTAGTGGGGAATGTTTACAACGCTCTCTGCTTTGACCGTATATTGTTCGTTTAACAAGTGTGCTAACGCAATTGTTTGTTCACCAAAGCAAATGTTCATTTCACCAGCTCGTACTGACAGTGCGGTGAGAGTAGAGCGATCGGCATCTTTCAGGAATGATGCGTCGGAGCACATAACAGAGTGTGGTTGGATACAGTCAGCGGGCCGGTCAAAATCTCGGGCCGTATGTTGCCCACTTCTGGTCTAATTACTATTCCAAGCAAAAATGTGTAATTTTTCAGAGTTTTGGAGTCGGTTTTCAACCAGATTCGTAGTCATATTTCTTTTTTCAATTCGCAGTCAAATTTGTAATCAGGCATTGCATGGAATATGCTATAAACAATAACAACGTCTGATTACAATAACAACAGATAACAATGTAGGATATTGTTGTCCATACATTCAACCAATTATAGTTTTATTGGACATGAAATGAACCGATGGTTCAAGTATTAAATTAGTTCCAATTGACCAATGGCATCCTGAAATTTTAATTACCATTCTTAGTTTTGAATTCTATTCAATTAAAGAGTCTAGCTGCACACTAACACAAATGTATTTCTGTAAAGTTTCGTCCGACCAGAGTCAGAGGCCATTGTTGTAAACTGCTTGTCTGAGGAAGTCTGACTCTGGTCGGACGAAACGTCACAGAAATACATTTGTGTTAGTGTGCAGCTGGACTCTTTAATTGAATAGAATAGTCATGTTTATTCCAGCTACAGTATCCTTGCAGTATACGCATACGGATCCACTAGCATAAAGGCATAGAGAAAAGATAGGAAGTTAGTCTCGCGCAACCCAACTCAAACTTAGTTTTGAATATCTTATTTTCCACCGCTTCCCATCATATCCTCATGCTACGATGATTGAATTCTAAATTTTAAGAACGGCTTTTCGTTTGTAACAGGTTCGTTACCTCATTCAAAAAAGTATGTATCTCACTACGTAGTTTACATTAACTCGGCACGCTTTAGAAAACGTAGTATTCAAAACACCAAATATAACGCAAGTCGTAAGCTGCGATGCACGTTGTCCGTTTAACGTATAGAATAAAACAAGAACGGGTTTTACATTTTCAAGAACGGGTTTGCGCGACCCTTGTGAACGCCGATTTACATCATTGCTCATGAATCTTGCGTGAACTCATTGTAAAATGAACAAAATACTTCTCAAGAGGGTCGATATAGGGACGTGGCGTTAAAAAAGCTGCTGTGACGTTAACAATATTTGACTGTTATCAGATATTTATCAAGATGAGTCATGAATATCAATGCTAGTTGAGATCAAGGTAGAATCTTTTGTACCCAGCCACTAATGCAAAAATGTGAGATTTGAAAAAAATACCCCCCGCCATGTTTTAAAATACCAAATTAGTAATTATCCAATTTGGTTTTGGTTAGGAATGATTTGAAAATTTGAATTTTCTGCTCAATCCTGATTGGGCAATTACTAATTTTCTTATTTTGAGCGTGGCTTTGTACAAATCATCCGAAAAAAGCTAAAACGGTAGTTCTCAAACAACTTTGATCTGTCACCCTCTTCCACAAACCATCAACACTCCGTGGCCAGCTGCTATCTGAAAAGAAATTCTAGTTTTCTTTGGTGGTTTTCCATCAGTTATTTATTCTCCATGTTCCAGAATAAAAAGGAAGCCGTAATAAAAGTTTGAGAAACCCTGTGATAAGATACCGCACGATTTATGATCACTATATTGCAGGTATTGTCAACCATGTCCGTTGCGTGAATTGTAACACCAAGAATATCGTCGATGATTATAACGGCACTATAGAGTCTCCTAACTATCCAGATGAACGTGAAAAAACGGCAGATTGTACGTGGGAAATTCATTACGTCAAAAAACATTTCCCCAAGAAGCGATCCTTGGTTTTAGATTTCGTCGGGCTGCGACTCTACTTTGCAAAATTTGATTACACTGCAAAAGATAATGCGACAAGATATTGCCCTTATGCACACAACTTGACTATCAATGGAGGTAAGAGAAATAATAAGTATTTGAGATGTTCACAAAGAAGTCTGTATGTCCTACTCGAATCAAATGCCACTTTAATACCCATATATGAGTCTTATGAAACAAAAGACAGTATGGAATCAGGTTCCATTTATTTTAAACATTTTGTCCAGTCACGGCGGTTCAATTGTTGTTAAAATTACAAGCAAACTAACCTAACCTAAGTAATTGAGATGTTCACAGCAGAAGATATAAGTTAACTCGAGGCAAGACCCCGAAATTTAAACTAAAAGTGAGAATTGATGGTCAGCTCAACGCACCATAAGGCGCACTTTAACCTTTCTTTCTCAGAAATCGATCGTGCGCCGTATAAGCCAGTGCGCCTATTGTATGGATCAGATGGTGCTTTATTGCCTGCCTACACCTAAAATCAGTACCGGTAACGGTACAGTCGTTTCATAAACAGTCGCCGTTTCATGTTTTCTTTGAATAAAATGTTATTACCAATGTAAATTGTAAAAATGTAATTATTTAGTTTCTTTTGTATAATGAGCTTCGTACGGTAACCCAATACCGTTGCGTTTTTAAGCCTATGGGCAAACCAATCAAGGCGATTTATTTGCCGGTGCTTATGATCCGTATAATACGATGATACGATAATACGTGGACTGGAAACCTTTGGTTTTAATAGTGTATGATTTTTTACGACGCTAATCACTCCCGAACAAGGCTCTATCTATACAAACAACAGCTGATAACTAACGTTATGTAAGTAGCTACTATTAGTTGAAAGGGACCTCCTGAAGTATGCGCACCAAAATGGCGCACAATATGAACTCAGGTTGTGTACAAGGTTAGGGTTCAGGTTGTGCGACATCTTGGTGCGCATACTCCAGGAGTACCGTTGAAAGAAACAGAATCTTTCCGGTTCGCCATTGACAACTAAATATGGGTAAGCATGGGTAAATCGTATCCAATTGAAGGTGGGATTGCAAGCGCATCCACAACACTTGGCATGATGCGCCGCTCATTGCAGATTACAGTTCCTGATTTGAACCCCATGTCCATCACGTCACCCAGTGTGTAAAACAATTTGGTAGGAAATGCGGAACGGGTAAGATTCTGCCGACCTGTCCTAGTAAAGTAGTTCCTATCAGTGCCCGATTGAACTTGGTTGGAATGAAATGGGCAAAAAAACTCATGTAATATTCTGTCTCGCCACCGTCCAGTTATCTTAACCTTCAAAATATTGACTCGCAAAATCCGTTTTTCAGAAGCCATAAACTGCACGAGATTAGTTTCCAACAACACAAAGACTTTTTGTAAAGCATATTATGAAGATCAGGTATGCGCCAACCAAAAAGAAATTAATCATTGCGAAACAAAAGAGCAAGTAACATATCCAGTGTCAGTTCACTACAAAGCAAAAAACCTATCTCTGGAAAACATTGGACCGGTTTTCGGGTTCAAAATAAACTTCCACTACGTCGAATGTAAAGCAGGTAATTTATTCAATACATACATTTACCTGATACTCGAAATATTATCCCAAGCACCCACTCAGAAGTAAAAGAAGATTGTCTCTGAGCACGCGCGCGCTTTTATGTGTAACGGAGAGTCATCTTTGGGCATGGTCACACGTACTCACTTCAAAAGTAAAGAAGATTTGTCCCTGAACAACGTGACGCTCAATCACTCAAAAGTAAATGATACTCATCTCTGAACAAGCTAACGCACACGCCACATAAAAGTAAATGTTTGTCTCTGAGCATGGTGACACGCATAAACTCAGAGGTAAAGGAGGCTCATCCCTAATAAAAGTTACAGACGATCACTGAAAGGACCAGAAATACCAAATAATACAGAAATTCGGTTCACTACTCGCTAGTAAATTCTGAACAATGCGGGACAGGAAGTAATTCAAATGAATATGATCTCAAAAGTGCCATGCTTGTCTCACACTTGTATCATTTCTCCCACTATTGGAAGTTCAGTATATTGTGTGAAAATGTCTATAGAGTAAGAATATGAAGTGAATTCAGACTATGTTCAGGTCTAGAACATTTCACTTTTACAGATGGTTGGAGTATTTTTATATTTTATACCATGTGAAATTATTACAACTGGGGGACACGAAAAACATCGCAAAAAAACACCAATGATATATCACATAGAATTTCTCAAAAATTAGTTTGTAACTTTTTAGTTGAGCTCAGAGCCAACCAAGTACGTTTTATACCAAGTACATGTACATAGCAAAAAGAATATTTATAATTATTGTTCATTTTTCATCCTCCCCTCAATATGTCGCGAATACATATTTGTATATTACTACAAAATATTTTCACAGAGACTACAATTGTGCCCGAGATCACTGACAGCCAAACAACTTCTTCATTGAGCGTTGAGACAACAAGCAATAAACGTCCTCAAGCTACTTATGTACCAAGTTCAGGCGGAATTCTTTCTACTATAAAAAGTAAGCATTTAGCACGTTTTTACATCCTCAGAGCATCCTATACTCGACATGGACTGGTAAACGGACTAGAGATGGGGTTTTCCATATAATTAAACCGTCTTGTCGGCTTTAACAATATGTAAATAAAAAAAAACATTAAAATACATGAAAAATTCGGGCAAATAATACAAAATGGAAGAGATATAGAATATACGACGTCACATTCATAAAATAACGTCACATTCTTATTACACGTCACTTTAATATTATGACGTTGCGATTTCGTACCCAACATGGACTGGTAACCGGACTAGAAATGAGATTTGCTTTTCGGCGAAACCGTCTTATCAGCTTTCCTCTCTCGCGTGATGAACATGAAAAAATATTATCCCAATAAACTTTTCCTTTTACAGACGGTCCCGATATAACAATGACTTCGTATTTCACCGGTGTGACCGATGCCAATTCATCAATGTTGGTCAACGTTGTTGTGCCAATAAGTGTTGTCCTCTTACTGGTCGCACTGGCAATTCTAATTGTTGTTGTAAAAAGGTTGGTATATTATCTTAGCGTTTACTTTTATTAAAACACTTATTTGAGGAGTTGGAAGTTTTTATAAAATATACCGTGTTCTGTAAAGCATTTTCCTGATACTCCACTCAAAATAAGATCCCACACACCAACTCAGAAGTAAAAGAGGTTTGTAGCTGAGCATGTGAGTCAAAATTGGGATGCGACCGAGTTTGTGCGCTTTAGCCTGACGGTTAAAGCGATAGACTTAGTTGGAATCGTAGGTTACTTATCTCGGAATCAAATCTCATCACGTTACCCAGGATGTGGTAAAGAAATTAGATTGTGGGTCATAATACCAAACTGGAAAGATTCCGCTTATATAAATCCAGCCCTCTACATATTTTGTTGTTAAAGCGCGCGATTGCCGGGTTTACCAGGTCGCTTTGGTGCGTTTATTGTTTTTTCCAAATAACATATATAGTTCGACTTTTTGTTATTTTTATTTTTTGTTAGACTTTGTTATTGGTGTCACTGCTCGATAAGCCTAATTTGGTTTCCCGCGGCTCCCCTCACCTTGAAATGCTCTTTCATAATTTATTCGTATAATTCGTATATCTAGTGTGGTTTCATTATGGTGAAAAAATAAACTACTGATTGCTGCATACATATCGTTAGATATCAGTGGATGAATGCACAGGGTCTCCCACGATATTCCAATATAGTTTATACTCAGAATAGGGAAAAAAATAAACCAATGATTACTTTTTATGCGGTTCATATTACCGTTACTTGAGATTTTAATTTTCAATTGCAAATTACAATATTTCATATTTAGAAGAAAAAGGCAACAGAGCGGAAATCCATCCAAGAGCGACCAATCAAAAGTTCAAGCTTCGTCTTTCAATCAATCAGGAGGGGGCATTTACTCAGCAGCAGAAGATATCAATCAATCAAGTCCACAACGAATGAGCGGGGCCGGTTCAAGCAACCAATCAGAGCAAGGACAAAGCAATCACGTGTCCATAATTAACCAATCAGATGTCGCATATTCCACAGTGGAAAAGATTCAAGGAACAAAGCAAACAGTGGAATATCACAAAACAATGGTGGATAATGTACTATATGGGGAAACAGGGGGAGGAAACGGCAATGCCCAAAAAAATTCACCAGATGCTCCACCTAGTGACGAGGCCGAAACAGTCGTGAATGTACTATATGGGGAAACAGGGGGAGGAAACGGCGATGCCCAAAAAAATACACCATGTGCCCCATCTAGTAACAAAGCCGAAACAGTCGTAAATGTTCTATACGGGGAAACGACGTAGAGAGTTTTATCCATATTCAGTTGCCCTCCGAACTACAAACTCTTTTTCACTGACGAAATGTGCTTGTATGACACGAAAGGGACCTATTGATCGTTTCGGTATTTTGCATTTTATTTATTCTTGTTGTGAAAAAAGCGCAACATGTCGTGGTTACCAGACCGTATATTCTTTTCTGTAAAAAATTTGATGCTACTCTGTTTTGGCCTTTGTGTCCATATTAATAATCGATTTGATTCACAAAAACGAAACGTTGCGCATTAATCGTGACGCCATAGTATTAGAGTGACGTGATAATAAGTATGTGACAATATATTATAATGTGACGTCATACTATAAATGTGACGTCATAATACAAAAATGGCATCATATATAATGCTTCTCTCCCATTTTGTATTGTTTGCTGAATTTTGATTTTTTTTCACTTTGCATATTATTAATTTCATAACCAAGGATGCCATTTTATTTCTATTTACTGTATAAGTATTCTCGCACATGTCCTCTATACATTAAACGATTACGCTGTAAAATCCAAATTGATATTGTTTTTGTATTTAATCCGTGGGAGAGGAGAGTAAATAAAATAAGTGGTAAAATACTCCGATGTTGACTTTATGAACAAAGTGTTTTCATAGGATGTTTTCACTATAAACAATGTTATAGCCAGTGCCTCTAAGAATGGCCATTTTAGTAATTTGAACTTCGCGGTATATAGTTGAGCATTTCTTTCTTGTTGTATGTTTCAAATCGGGATCTAGACTTTTCACCTACTAACCTAATCATTAAACTATTCGATTGAGTCAACTGGGGCAGAAAAAGTATACACATTCGGTGATAATTTTAAATTTTTACGTAGAGTAAACATTATTGGTACCAGGTTGAGGTTAGTGCATTATTTCATTCCGATTTTCCTTACTTTAGTTATAAAGTTCGGACACTGTGTTAGCCAAGTGAATATACTCCCCTGTCCATAAGTTTAAATTCCTTCAAACAACTTGATGTAAAGTAGGCGAACAAAATTAGTTACCTCCATATTGGGGTACTCCTGAAGTATGCGTACCAAGATTGCGGACACCGGAACGTAGTATGTGTACCAGGTTACGGTTAGACCATAATTTTATTCCAATCCTCCTTAATTTAGTTATATTGCGAGTCCGGGGACTAGGTAAGTGACTCCCGTAGTATTTGTACCTATAATAGCCTAACCCTAACCTGGTACACATAATACGTTCCGGTGTCTTTCATCTTGGTACAAACACTTCTTGAGCGCAAAAAGTTCAATATAACATATGGGACATAAAAAAACTGAAATACTTCTAACAACTCTTAACTACTCGCGGTTTCCGCGATTGTCAAGGATACCCCCGACGAGTGCTAACTGACTTCGCTTAAAGCTCCTATTGAACGTAATCAGGTATCATAGCCCCTTCACAAAAAGCGATTGCTTTCAAGTATCCTTTGTTTCTGTGGAAACCTGAAGTCCGAATTCTTAGAAATAACGTTTTTTTCCTAAAAGACGATTCTTTTTATTTATTATCATATTTTTTGTGGACAACGGAGGATTGCTTTACCCTGAAATCTGAGAACTTACATTTTTTTCTCGATCACATAGATTTTCTTTCTTCCATCGCCTAAACCACTGGTTCTCAACCAGTCCCAACAAGGTATTGATAATTTAGTCAAACTTTGATTTTAGTAGCAATGAATGATAATACTGTACCAAGCTACTGGATGATAATTTTTATTTTAAATATGAAAATGCAAGTGTCTAATTTTGTATAAAGAATTTTTTTGTTTTCCTTGTAGTTTTTTCTTTGCATGAGAAAGTTAATGGGCCACAGATTTTTTGCGCAATGAAAGTGGGCCACGAGAGAAAAAAAAATTGAGACTGCCTGGCCTAAACCTAAATTCTCTGATTACGAGGGATTTTCCGTGTCGTCCGATTTTCCACTTGATTGATAGGGTGGGTAGCAAAATGATGCGTCTGGCAAAGCACTGTAATCGTCGCCTCCTGATCCATGTTATACTTGAGCATTGCTTTGTTTTAAAGTTTTCAATGTTATTAATATAATTAATGTATATTTGGAATAATAACTTCAGTTAGCACTCTTGTTTTTGAATTGAGTGTGACAGATTCAAATGATTATATCAAGCTAGCTTTGCCTGGTTAGAACAATCCAGCGCTAAACAACATTGTTTACTCTGCCAGTCATGCTTTATAGCAATTTGTCAAGGTTACTCAATCTGCAGAATAAACCGATCTCGAGGAAGCGGTATTGATGCTGTCAGTCATGGTTCACTTCTCTTTTATCCCCAAATGACGCGTCGTCGCTTGTATTTCCAAACGGAATTTATCTATGTACTGGTTTGTCTTCATTGTGTGTATTGTTAATAAGAGTTTACATTCTGAATGACTAGAATGCAGTAATAATATAGGATTGCATAAAGATCCTCCCGCCACAAAAAGTATCAAACTGAACATCCAATTACAGAACTGAAGAATGATTCAATTTAATGGCAAAAAAAACTAACCTTCAGGGCAGTGTTTCTCAAAGTTGATTGACCGGGGACCAAAATTAGAAGCGAAGTAATATTCGCGGGCCAGGATAGGGGAACGCCCGCAAGGGGTCAATGCCGGTACCAGTACGTATAATTCAGATACCGATGTAATTGAATATACACGTAAACTGTGATAATGGCGTAACAATTCGCGGTATCTAGAACGTAAAAAGGTGATAACGTTACCTTTTTTAATTAAATCATGTCGCGAGACGTAATTGGCCCACAGGTCACGCTATGGGAACCCCTGCGTTACGGTAGATAAATATCGCTGTATTTTGGCGTTAAATATCACGAACTCTTTTAAACGTGTATGTTCAGGCCAAGATGGTGAGTCTAAAATGATAGCAAGCGTACTAATAGAGCTGGTACGGCTAAGCCCCACTGAACACCCATTGGCAATGTTCCCTCTGAGAAAATATTACACTGCGCAATTGTTTGTAAATGAGTGAGCATGAATATTTTGAGGCTGAGCAGAGTCCTAAATGATTTACAAACTTTGTGAAATATTAAAACAACAATAGGTTATCACAATGCGAACAAAGTACGTACACATGTAACTCAAAAAGCTTTTCCTTGTTTATACACTTTGTCCATTTTTGACTAGTCCGCGGGCACCGGCCCGCGATAGCTAGTGGCATCGTAAGCTTGACTCAAAATGGGTATTTCCAGATGATTCAGGAAAAATCCAGTAATTGGACGTATCAGACACGTGAAACAAAAACGGGCATGATAGCGGGGTGTTAGAAGGTATGGCAAGTCACGCTCTGAAAACGTAATGTTACAGGTTCGCTAGAATGAGATTTTAATGCGCAAATGGTTTTGGTACTGCGCAATGGCGCAGTTGCGCTCCTCAGAGGAAGTTTGCCCCTGGGGTTTTCAATCCGGCCCGCTAGATGTTGCGATACATTTCTGCTGCCTGTGCCGAGCCTTATTTGGGCAAAAAGTAAATTCAATAGGTATTTCGACCCGATAACAAAAGTAACTCCCGAATAATAATGGATGCTTAAACAGAGAGTTGAGCCTGATACAGAGTAAAGGCGAGACGCCTCAACAAGAATAATATAATTAGGCCAGTGGTGGATTTCAAATTTTTTCTCAGCCGGTTTCATCACATAAGTCCTATTTTTCAGCCGGTTTTGTTACAAAAAGTCATTGACAGTAACCAGTAATGCTGACCGGTTCGCTGATCTCATAAAATTTCGTGAGACGGTTCTATAGAACCGGTGCGAACCGCTGAATCCCACCACTAAATTCGGCTATATAGCAGACATGGCCCGCGGGCCAAAGCTGTAATTGCTTGTGCAGAGCCCGATTCAAATCGGAGGTGCAAAATCCCACAAAAAAAGCATTTCACTTACATATAGTATCAAACCTGAATATTGAATGTCATCATAATTATTTACAGAGGAAGTGTGTTATTGCTGCGTCATATAGATCCATTGTTAAGTCATACACCAAAGGCATTGCTATAGCTAGGTATTTAGGCTGGGCCAGAGTTGATCGTGAACTAATATTGCATATATGGAAATTCCAATGTCATTTTACTTTTTAGCATTATACAACGACTCATTGATATTATTGAGAACAGGGATCTTCAGAACAGGTATACAATATGCGGGAAGAAAAGCGTTATATTCAGACGCGTTTCATGATTTATAGCCATGTAATATATAAAGATTTTGTAAATTAGTTTAGGTGCAATCTTTTTAGACGGCCAACTGAATTTGAGTATTGTGATTACACATCTGGCCTTTTATGTCCCAAAAGTAATTGCTATATAATTTGGTGCGCAGTCATCCCAAATTATTAATATTCTGTTTTCCTTGAGGATGGGGGAGCAACAGTTGAGTACTAATTAGATATAGTTTGGCCCAGAGATGGCAGTGTTACTAATATCACATACATGGGAATTCCAAGTTACCATAGTTAGTAAAAAGAGGCGTTTTAGTCATACGTGTTTTAGAATTTAGTGACCATGTAAAAATTTCTGATAAGTAGTTATGCGTCCCAAAAGTAGGTCTTAAGATTTGGTTGTACTGAAGTATAAGGTTATAATTGCGAGGGTCGCTACCAGGCTTACTCATACCTAGCATACACAACTGATGAGTCATACGAAATAGTTTAGCCGACGTTGGACATGGTATATAGCACAGGTAGACAACCTTTAGCATTGAAAGAGCCATTGTTTTTCGTCAAACTCAAAACTACTCGGAGCCGCAACAGCCAGTTTACGACGGAATGAAAAGAAAAAAATCGTTTTGACAGATTTGCATCATTTTGATGCGACCTATTTTTACCGCTCTCGACTTGTACGTGCTGTGATGTGTAATTAGTGAGTAGTAATCAACTTTATGCCCCTGACTTTCATCGACTGCTTCTAACAAAAAACTGCTGTAGACAATTACGGTTTTCAAATTCAATCGCCGCCATTGTGTTTTTTATTTGGACGCC